ATGAACCATTACCAGTCTCATAGTTTCTGAATCGGAGCAGCAACCACTGCAGCCGCACAAGGATTCACTGAGCTGCAAATTCAGACAATGGTTAGATTAAACTGCAATGCTTGCAGGAAATATATTCGTATCCCTACACTACGATTTTAAAACTCTCCATAATTTGCTTTTCAGTCAGGCGCTGATAGCAACCTTAATCGTGTAACGTTGACATTTCTCTAAGTAATCAATCAGACAGGGGCTGATGGTTACTGTTACCAAGTTATCTTGTCATTGCGAAGGGAAAAACCAATCAGACAGGGGCTGATTGAAGCCCATAATTCTTGTCATTTATGATTAACGGTTACTAGTATTAATTTCGTTTTTTTTCTGCGGGGGGGGGGGGGGGTTAACAAGCTAGCCTATATTTGTCGTGTATTCATCAAATATCGCCGACCTTGTTAAGGTGGGGTTAACGCCCCTTTTTTCAGCTTCTTACCATTCTTGAGACCCAGTTGGTTTTATATTTTATGTCAATCATGCTATAGTTGTATCTAGTCATTTGATGTAACTTGTTGTTGCATTCAGGTACAAACTTGATTTTATTTGTCTCTTAACTTTTGATGTTGATGTATATAATCTTGGTTACTTTTGTATATGTTTTTATATTGTGCTTTTGATCCACTGTCATTTATTGCATATTTCAATAAACGACCATTTTATTCATTAAAGAGGAGATATGTACTTATTTGATGTGGTTGGTAAGGCAAGCAGACATAAATCATCTTATAAGTAGCAAATATTATGGAACTTTCAGCATCAGAATTATGCATTTGAACGAGTTTTTACATAATTATCATACCACTGTTTACAAAAAATGTAAGATTTTTAAATGTCAACAAATACTTTTATTTATTTATGTCTCCCATCTTAAATAACATGGCAACCTATTATTATTTTGCAATAATTGGTAAATTTAAAGTATATAAAATGAAACTAAATGCTCTTTTTTGTACTTTGAACCATTAAAATTACAAGGGTGGAAAAACCTTAAGCTGTGAACAGAAAGCTACGGAGAATGTCACGTAATCACCTTCATCACGTGATTCGCGCCTAGGCAGAACTGCGGTATATGTGCATTATGAATCTTAAATACTTAAAAAAAATAATGAACACCAAAATCCAATTTTATTTCTTTTATGAAAGTAATGTAATTTTGCGAACTTTTTTATCACCCCTCGTAAATAAGGAATATTGATTAGTGCTTGATGTTCAAACAGTGTTGGCAGAACTGTTTCTGAAAACTACTGAGATAACGTTTCAATGAGAAACACAGAAAAATTAATATCAATTTAATTTTGTGTAGAGTAACTTTTGACAGACTTATTGTGTGATAACCATTCATAAGATAAAAATATTCCGAGTTCCATTCTTTTGAGAAATAAAAAAGAAATTCAACCCCCCCTTTTTATAGAAAATTTTGATTAGTCCTTCTGATTTTTTTAAATACACATCTGATTAACATCACTTCTAGAATATGCCATAGTGCATTAGGACTGAAGTTTTCACTTAAGATCGATTACTATTTTTGTACGGAGTATTGTAATAAGTTTGGTAAAATATTTTTCTGGACTCATCCAAGTATTTTCATTTGTAAGCAATGGTATTAGTTACATGTACATGGTCTTGGTTAAAAATAAATTTGCTATATAGCTTTCATGGAATATGAATTTTCAGGAATTATAAAATGACATTTTTGTATTCAGAATTTTCATTTTAAAAAGAACTACGGTTAAAAACAAAATACATGTCATTGATTAAATCACAGTGCCATGATTCCTTGTTTTTTCAAAAATAATTATGCGGAAGATATCTGAAACATTTGTGCCAGTATGTGGCTTTATTAAAATTCTGCATTTAGGACACAGTGAGTGCTCAGACATGATACAAACTGAATAAAACATGATTTTTTTTTATTAAAAGGGAAACGAAAATATAAGTTTATGGAACAAATATATAAACATAAAAGATTCCATGTTATTTTAATTTTTAATTTTGCTTTCGTGCAACAATTTTCATTTCATGCATCTCATTATAATTTAAGGTTCTTTTATGTCTTATATAGTTACTGAGCACACTAAACGATACTCCTCTCCCATATGATTAAAATGGCAAAGTCCATGTTTTGTTTTGAGAGACCAAAATTAAGTGTCAGATCTTAAAGCGAAAAAGGAGGTCGCAGTAGCATTATGTAATAAAAAATCTGAGAAAGTATCATTTTACTTGGTGGTAAAGGAGGAGTTGGAAATAAGAGATGAATACCCTTCAATATCATAGAAAGAATGTCAGTGTCCATGTTTTGCCATGGGAAACCGAAATATGTGTCCAATATAAAAGTAAAATAAGAGGAGCAATATGGCACTATATGTATCTAAGATTCTGTGAACATGGATTTTTCTATAGGAGTCTACCCCATGCCTACATGTATCTATTTATGACTGAAGGTATGTAAATCACCAGAGTTGTTGTACTGCACCGCTTGAATAAAAGTCATATCATTCCACATTCTTGACTTTTTTTCCTTGACCTTAGTTCAAAACATATATTATTCCAACCAGTCTTCATTCTATGCAGTGATAAGATTTTTACAGAATTCTAAGGTATAACTTGTTTATAGTCTTTAAAACACTCTTGAACTTTGTACATTTGAATATAACATTTCAATTCTTTCCAAAGAATATGCCATGCCACCTAACATAGCAGATATGGTCTTTAGGTTATCACAAAATGTTAAAGTTACAACAACTAACTTTTATCCTGTAGGAAAATGATCCAAAAATCTATAGAAAATCTCCTATCCATTCTTCACTTAAGATGTGAAGTTTGAAGGTTACAAATTATTGACAAAGTTAGTTATCTCAATAATCTCATGCTTTGACCTTGAACATTGTCCTATACAACTAAGTGTATTGCTCCAAACACTATATGTGTAGTAAGTATAAAGTTTATGGAATGATAAAAATATTCAAGATATTATTAAATCACAGATTATGGGACACTTGCATCTTTATGGTGGGTCTTATTGAGACGTATTAAATTCAAAATAGGATAAACACATTCTAAATAAAATGTATTTACAGTTCCAGAAAAAGTAATAAAATACACCAAAGCTAGCTTCTGAATATCTGTGTATTTTCTAGGGGTGTTGTAGATATAAGATGAAAAATTAAGGATTCAATGTATAAAAGTAATACATAACAACTGTATTCAATTTGTACTACATAAATTAAAAGTTATATTTAGATACTTTGAAATCTGTGAGAATTATTTTTTTGAAGATCTCATACTATCAGAAAAACACATTTTCAATACTTTGATTTGATTAAACTTCAGTCTGTTAAATGACTGCAATTTATCTATTGTTGTGTATGACAGAATATGAAAGATATGAAGGGGGGAGCTTTTGACCTTTTTTTCCCTTCATCATAGTTCAAAATATATATATTATACCGGTCTTTATCTATGTAGTGAATATAGGATTTTTACAGAAACCCTAGGTATTACATAGTAATAGTCATATAAACACCCTTGAACAGTGTACATTTGATTAACATTTCAATCCTTTCCTAAGAATTTGCACCTAATTTTCATAAAGTTTATAAGTTATCACACAATCTTGAAGTAATTGCATTACAAGACTCATATCAGTAATCTCAGTAACTAACTTTTACCCAGGAGTAAACGATCTAAAAAATCTATAGAAATATCTTATTGATTCTTCATCTGTGTACTTATGATGTGAAGTTTGTAAGCTACAAATTATAATATTGTCAAAGAAGTCATCTCAATAATCTTATGCTTTGACCTTGAGAAAGTGTCCTAAACAACAAAGTGTATTCCTACAACCATTCTATATGTAATTAGCATGATGAATATGGTATGATAAAGATATTCAAGATATTATTAAACCACAGATTATAAGACACTTGCATCTTTATTGGGGGTCTTATTGAGACCAATTTTAAATTCAAAATTAAACATGATACATACACAAACAAAATGTATTTACAATTCCAGGAAAGTTAAATAATAACATTAAATCCAGCATCTGGATATCTGTGTAATTTATAGGGGGTTGTAAAAAATTAGATGAAAAATAAAAGGTTTAGATGTGTAATTCCCATACATTACAACAGTCTTCAATATGAATTGGTAAAAATAAAAGTCACATTTAGATACTAGAATTAGTTTTTAAAGAGTTCATGCTATCAGAAAATCATATTTTCAATACTTGATTTGACTAGATCTCAGTTTGATAAATGATTACACTTTATCCATAGTCAGTGTCTGACAGTGAAAGATACAATCCTGGGTCCTTTCTCTCTTATCCTGTGAACCACAATTCATGATCATCATGATTGACTTAGTTTGGAAATCATATAATAATATTTAATCAATATTAAATACAGTGTATTATGAGAACAATGAATTGAAACCATTCGTCTTTCTACACTTAAATCAAATGGAAGTCCTAGATAATTTTTTATTAAGATATATAGTGTTCATTTTAAAGGATTATTATTTTTTGTATATAAACTAAAACTTTTTATGGTTGAATGCACATAGTATTTTTAAAAGAGACAACGACAGGCTGATATGTTTTTGCTCGTTAAACGGTATAAATGTCAAAGTAAAAAAAAATGATTGTTCTTTTTTAAACAAAACGATTACGTGTTTATATATATTTAGGCATTCAAGCTTAAACTTTAAATATATTACAGAACTAAAATGTTACTGATTTAATTACGCTAGATAGAGTTTTACAATCCATAACTTTAAATTAGGTACATAGATACTCGTTCTTATATAAGTATTTGTTTGTACATGTATATATGTCAATTATCCTATCTTTATGAGCATGTTAAATTGGTCTGGTTATTTTACTGGGATTGGCGCATATGAATATTTTGAAAAATAAATCTGGAATTAAATTAAGAATTATGAGGATATTGTTTTGCTCTATGATATTAACTGTTCTCCCTGTACGAGAAATCGGTAAGTACATTTACAATATTTATTGATAACAGAAGTATATCAGAATGTATCATGAAATGACGGTTACAAGTCGGTGTTATTAATCTGTTAAAGCACTGCATAAAGGGCAATCAAAATGTAAGCAACACGGCTATGAATCTTCAGATTGATAATTATTTTTGTTCAATCAGTTTTTTGTTAGGTATAGATATTGTCGACAGATATCTTAATTGAAAAGCTTTTATACTTAAAAATATTGTCATAAGGTTTCAGTTCCATACATTATAGTATGATAAAATTGTAACCGATTTCCAAATATCATTAAAAGAGTGATTTAAAACAAAAGATAGAAATGGTAATATAATTATTTTTTCTCTCAAATGTTGAATAAATTTAAAAGAAAAATGTTTCCACGTTAATTGGTACTCTCCTTGTGTTAAGCCAATTGTGTGTGAGAACGTCCAACAACAAAGATAAGCAGTTCATTTTATAGCCGTCCACTGTTCATTTTAAATGTTAATAAATATTCATGAGGGAGTTGTGTCAGGGAGTAGCCCCGATTTTTCTGAGAGTAGCCAGATTTGTGATTTTGAATTACCATATGTATATTGGATTCCGAAACGTCATCAAACCCTTACAAACAAAGACAACATTACGGGTTCCAGTAAATGCTCAACCAACCAAGCCTCTTTCTTTACTCCTCACTAAGATATTTAATAAACAGTAGTGAAGGAGAAACAGCTTAAAAACTTACGACTTTTCAAAATTTTACACAACCATTACCCCACGATAAAATATTTACATTCAGTATACTTTTCCTTATCAAGTCCATTAGAAATCCACGACGTTCAAATTTCTATAACACACGCGAAACCTTGTCACCGCGCGTTAGAATACACAGTAGGAACTATATGCATTTTCAATACTCGAGAAACACCAAAATGTAAAATGTTTTATTTCAATTTAATGAAAAACTACAACCCTGAAAAATTAATGTAGAAATTTACGTAATGTGCGTTAAGAATTAATTTGTCACTTTTTTAATCGCAATGTTTGTTTTCGTAATTTAACTTTGCAACGTCACTTAACATCATTTGACGTCACAAACGGCTCTTACGTCTATTAACCAAGTTAGTTTTGAAGGGCGCTAAATTCACATTAAATGTTAACGAAATAAGCAATTATGAAGAAGGAAAATTAGAGAATGTAAATATAAGCATTGAATTAATATTTTTGGCTGTCTTTGGTCCTATAACACACCTGACCGTGCCGACAAATTTATCATACCGCGCTAACGCGCGGTATTCAATTTGTCGGAACGGCCAGGTGTGTTATAAGACCGAAGACAGCCAAAAATATTAATTCAATGCTTAATTGAAGTCCAGACTTTTAGATATCATTGACAGCTGCTCTTTCAATAAAATGGATCTAGTAAATTTACTTACCTTTTCATTGATCACTTGCAAAATCATTTTGTTAAAAACATTCTGATTGTATTCACAAATACTCTGAAGATGACATTAAAAAGATGCTTGAGTTTCTGATTGACATTATCTATACTGTTTTTGGAAACCAGCTCTTCCAACAATCCCATGGGTACCAATTGCACTCCATTATTAGCAGACCTATTTTTGCATTCATACGAAGCAGAATTTGAGCAAACAGAATTCATGGCCCCTGGGTTGGGGGTTCTGGTGTTAGGGTGGGGCTCTTTTGCATGATTATATAGTGAAAATGCATAAATTCTTTAAAAATCTTCTTTTCTGCACCTGGGTACATGTATGAAACCAATGAACTATGTACATAGTTATGAGGAGAAAGGATGCATCTTTGAGATTTGTGAATTTCAGGCCCCTGGGTCCGGGCTTCTTGTGTTTATATAGTGAAAATGCAAGAATTCTTTGAAAATCTTTTCCTTTGTTCCTGGGTATTATGCCAATGATCTTAGTATATATTTATGACGAAGAAAGCTGCTTCTTCCAAAAATGGCTAATTTCCTGGTCCCTGTGACAGAGGTACTTGAGGGAGGGGGCATAGTCTGAAATTAATTTAATGCTTTGAAATCTGGACTTTGGTATTAATCAACAACATGATGAAATAAAATTTATAAAATTTCCAAAATTTGAAAGGCGTGGCCCCAGGGTCAGTGGTTCATGTGGGATGGGGTGCACAACTGATAAAAGTGGAAATGCATTTTCTTTCTGTTACTCTGATTTACATTTGGGTATTAGTAACCAAAGTAAGCATGCTGAGTGTATAATTATGATAAGCAATGGTGCATCTTTCAGTATTGTAAATTTCATGGCCACTGGTTTAAAACATGAATCAAAGTGAATTGTTGGAAAGTTGTCGTATGATACTCAGGTGACCTTTAAGGCCCATGGGCCTCTTGTTTTTAAAGAATTCTTTTTAAAAAGAACCAATATTTTTTAATTCAATGAATATTTCTCTTGTAAATTATTGGAAAAAAAGTTTGTGTCCCATGGGTATTTAATGCTAAAAACGTTTTAGCCCAATGATTTTCTTCAATGAAAAACTCATTGTCCCATGCCTATTTGTTCCGGTCCCATCATTGTTATAAATTTTGCCTGGTCCCTTATGCAGCAATTTACCTTCAACACCTGCATACGGAGTGTATATATCTCAGTTGATTCGATACGCAAGAGCAGGTTATACCTATGAACAATTTCTAAAACGAGGTATATTATTGACCAACAAGTTGATGAAACAACAATATCAGCAGTCATGTTTAAATTCATCAGTTCGTATGTTCCATTTTCAATACCATTTATAACCTTGTCAGCAAATACAATTTATCATTGAGTCAAATGCTGACTGACGTTTTTCATACTAATTGTTAGTTCATTATTTAAACACTGAATTGACGACGGATTTTCTGTTATTTCAAGACCATGACAAGGAGCACACAGCGGGTGTGAATGGTCGACTGGGGATGCTCACTCCTCCATGGCATCTGATCCCACCTCTGATGTTTTGGAGGTCCGTGTTTGCTCTGCTTCGATTTTGTATTTTTTTTATGGAATTTTGATCTTGAATACTATTCGTCATCTCCATATGTTTCATTAAATCAGTGTTTATAATCATGAATGAGAAATTTTATATTTGTTATTTCCATATGTTCTTTCTAAATGATTAACTTATGCACTAAGGGATACTGATCACTTTTCAGACTGTATTACAACACCGCAGGGGAGTTCCACTAGCAGATCATGCTCAGCAGGGTACTACCTGGATATCACGTCTGGGTCCTGGAAATGTCCGGGGACTTGGGGTTGCAGTGGTAGTCTAAATGTTCATTCCCAAATGGATTCTAACTGTAATTACCCTATCGGAGGTTCCTGTACTATATATGCCACCAACTCCTGGCTGGGAGGAGATCCATGTTCAGGGTGTACTAAAGACCTGGTGTGGTCTTACAGTTGCTACTGTAAATATCACTTCTTTTCCTATTATTTTTTTTATAGTTACAGAAATTTCAGTGTTTTTAAGTTCAAGATTTTTTTTTAAACTGCATCGACTCATAAACAGCGGAATGGAAATTTATGATGTAGCCTTATATGATGAAAAGAAGCACAATATCTTGGATTTAATTAAATTTACTGAAATTTTTTTATGTCTACATGTTTTGTATAACACCATGAATCTTTTAATTGAAGTCACTAAAATAATAGATCAATATTTAGCGAAAAAGTAATCGTTAGAGTATCAGGAGGTGTATTGGCCTCGGAACCCGGGGGGGGGGACTAGATGGGACTAGCCCCCCCCACACTTTTTTTTTGAAAAGATAGACATTTTCTATGTATTGAAAATTGGGGTTTACATTTTTTTGTTGGTTTAGCCCCCCTCCCCACACTTTCAATTACACCCCCCCACTTTCAATTTGCTTCCGACGCCTTTGAGGTGTACACCCTGAGGTCATTTTTTACATAAAAATGAAAGTAATAATACAATTGTTTCAGATTTGTTTTTTGTTTTTTTTTTTCTATCGTCAATATCTGCGTACCTGTCTCCATAAAAACACCGTCAATTTTGAATTACTTTCAGCAATATGGGGAAATTGGGGATCGTGGTCGTCCTGTCCCGGTGACTGCTCGACTCAGTCAATAGTGAGATACAGATCTTGTGTCAGGCCAGGGGGAGGATGTGGAACAGCTCCCTCACAATCAATGGGCTGCCTAAGATATGGCTGTAATTGTAAGTACATTATTTGGTTGCATAGATTAATGAAATTAGTCAACTGAATTTAATTTACTCATTGAAGTTTATTGCAAGTAAATTTACTTTAAATAGCTTTGCAAAACTATAAACTACCAAGGCTTAGAGATGAAAAAATGTTGATATAATTTTAGGAAAATACAGAATACAATATTGTACAATTAGTTCTGTTTTGGGGGGTTAATGCGATGAATTAGCAACATGTAGATACAATTTTAAGCAAGACCGAAGAGAGAACTTCCTACTTAAATCTTTCTGAAACTTTTCGAAAAAAAGTTGCATCATTTTTTGAATTGATTTTTAACAGCATCCTCAGAATTCGCCAGATCTACACCCAGTGATCAGACCTATTACCCGCTATCAACAAGTTGTTTCCTTGCCTTAGGGAGGGCATCCTTTACTTTTAGAGCGAGGGCTAACAATGACCTTCACTTGATGCTGAATAGCCATGCCAACTCCTCTAGTGGTTCATACTATGAATTCATCATTGCCGGATGGAGTAACACTAAGTCTGTTCTCAGGATCGATGGAACTCAGTGTGATGAACATTATCAAGTACTTCTAAGTCAATCCTGGTACGACAATTTCTGGATTTCTTGGTCTGGGACCACAATCCAAATGGGCATAGGTACGACAGTCGGCAGCAGTGTCAAACTGAACTGTACACATTCCCCGAGACACGATGTCAGGTATATCTGGATCAAAACAGGATGGGGGTCTTCAGGTCAATGGAGGTTCCCTAACGGTAGGTAAAAACAAATCAAAAACATCTAAAAATTGAGCCCTTAATCTTTTTTTAAAGAAAATAAACATACTCTAAAATATTAGAGAAATTTTATGGCGTCGAGCATAGCTCAAATGTCATCTAGTCATCAATTCATATTAATCGACACATTAATTTAGGCAACCAATTCTTTCTACCTATCTATTAGAGATGTACACATTTTTAACTTTTGAAATGTACATGTAAATAGATGTGTTAATACCATGCCATATGTTTATTGAAAAAAAGTTAATTCCTAATTCATAGCGTAAAACAATAATTTGATTTTTCAATATTTTTCTAGATGTTTCCTGTACCCATGAATTAAACGGCAACGTGAACGTTTCCACAAGTGCTACAAGTTGTAATGGAGTCAGCACTTACGCATGTAACTCAGGATACAAACAGGTTGCTGGGAACACACAGCGAACATGTTACGGAAAGTTCTGGACGGGATACCCACTTGTCTGTTCCGGTCAGTATGCAAATATTTATCTTATTTGTCTTATACTTGAGCAAGTTGATTTTAAGTTTGATTTCTAACAAGAATATAAATTCAAGTCTTTTTTTGTTTTTTTTTTCCTTTTCCAGTTTCAACCTGCAAGATAGACATCCTGTTTATTATAGAGGCTTCCTCATACACCTCTTCTATTTACTCTGAATTAGTATCGGTTATTGGTGATTTGGTGAGGACTATGCAAATTTCAACCAGTAATATACAAGTTGGGTTGATATCCTATGATAATGCTATCGACCAGAATTTCAAGTTTAACGTTTATACTACAGCGGCATCGTTGGACACCGCAATTACGGCATTAAGAATACCATTCGCCTTTACTACAACTAACCTGGCCGAGGCATTACGTGTTGCATTTTACGATTTTGTTAAATTGTCAAATGGAAACAGATTTCAAGCATATAAATATTTTGTTATTGTTGGTAAATCAGGCCCTACACATGCCGGTGCAGATATCGGAACCAGTATACGACAGCTGGCAAAAAATCAGGTGTTCGGAATTGGTAAGGAAATGACCTTTGATACATTTTTTTTTTAAAGAAAATGTATCTTAATGTTTCTAACAAGTTGCTGTCCTTTAAAAAAGGACTGCAATACGTGGACCATATGCATGTGTTTCTAACCGAGATTCAATTTAAGAAAATTTCTAGGTGTAGTGATTATTCATGTAGGTTTGTACACATTTTCTACAATGATCTGCCTACTTATGACTGATTGATTGATCATTGGCGGATCCAGAGGGGGGTTCCGGGGGTTGGACTCACCCCCCCCCTTATGTTTGTACACACAGAGAAAAAGAGAGAGAAATATAGAGTGAGAGATAGAGAGAGATATTTTTTCCTGTAATATAGATATTTATCCTCTAATAATTTGAAAAAATGAAAAATCTCTGTCCTTTCTGCTCGCTAGATTTGTAGATTTTCGCGTATTTGCTTTCCTTCCTGTGCCTTCCCAACCCCAGCTAAGATCTCCGACCACCCACAAGTAACATGCAAGGAAGATTCAGGGGAACTTTAGATATACCATTTTTGGACCATCTTCAGAAGTAAATAACTTTTAGAAGTATGCATAAGGTATTTTTAATCAAGGAAGAGAAAGGTTTAAAATGTTCCCGTAGTATGCAGATGGAGGGGGCTCATTTTTTCTGAGAACACTTTTGCTGAAGTTCTAATTAATTTTTTGATTTGGTAGCTTCCTCCACATTTTTTTTTTGCCAGAAAATATGCAGATTCAAGCATTTAAAAGTTATGTACCGAACAGAAAAGTTACAGGAATCCCCCTCTACTCCACTCCCCCCAAAAAAGATTTTAGAGAGTGGTGCATAGGGTTCTTTTTTTTTCCTTGACAACTCTTTTTGGAGGTCCTCCTTCTTATAAATGTAGCTACAGACTTGAAATGGCCTTGGTGTGATTCAATGCATGAGTGCTGGGGGCACCGACCTGGAACCCCCCCCCTTCAAAAATTTCTGGATCCGCCCCCTGGTGATTGTATACTGTTTACGTCCCTCTCCAGAATATTTCACTGATATGGAGACGTCACAATTGCCGGTGAAGGGCTGCTCTTACACTTACGGCATTTGAGCAGGGAGGGATCTTTATCGTGCCACACCTGCTGTGACACGGGGCCTCGGTTTATACGGTCTCATCCGAAGGACCGCCCCATTTAGTCGCCTTTTACGACAAGCAAGGGGATACTGAGGACCTATTCTAACCCGGATCCCCACAGGGCTACTTATGACTGATTGTAGTCTCAAAGCAAAATTGTTAATTTTTTCTCCGATTAGCCTTTAGTTTTGTCAGTTTAAAAAATCGACCTATTTTTTATGGATATATATGTAATCCATAATGGCTTGGACCCCCCCCCCCCAATCCCACACATTAAAAACCGTTCCTCTTTCAAAAGGTATTTTGATTGGTGAAATATCAAATATTTTGCGAGTCTTGATGCACAGAAATAATGCAGGTGAAAACTCGTCCTATTTTTTAAAAGTTAGAACTACTGTAGTCGTTTCTTATTCAAGTTGTTAAGTTACATGAATCTATATACTGCAAATTCTGGCACCGCAAATTCGATTCTTACTACATATTAAAATGCTTGTGTCTTAGAACCAATGTTTAGTTTGTATATAAAAGTATATGTATAAGAGAGAAACTCGGATCAGCCAATGTATATATAAGTACGATATATATAATGAATAGCATATTCTAATTCAAATAGGGCGAATTATTCTACGGGCAAGTTGCCTAATGCCTAAGGCGAACTCTCTAGCTTTCACGCACATGCGTGGCCTAACGTTTGTCCATGGCATCCGGTTTAACCTCGCTTATCTATTTACTCCATGGACCTCAGGGTCCACGCAAATATTAACATGCTTGACCGGTCACAGTAGCCTAGTGGTGGAGCGTTCGCTTCGTGATCGAGAGGCCCGGGTTCGATTCTCGTTCGCGGCGCCGCGTCATACCTAAGACGTAAGCAAAGGTAGTGACTGTTCCTTCGCCAAGCACTTGGCACTAGAAGTGAAAGTCACGGGTCTTTCGGATATGACCTTAAAAACGTAGGTCCCTTGTCACGGTAGGCGCTGGCACGATAAAGAACCCTCACTGCTCAATGGCCCTGAGTGCCGAGTATAGGTCTAAATTTGAAGCCCTTCACCGGCATAAGGTGACGTCTCCATATGAGTGAAAAATTCTCGAGAGGGACGTTAATCAATACACAATCAATCAATCAATATTAACATGCTTGTTTGTCTTTTTACAGCGCAGTGAAATGCATGTAGTAAAAAATGGATGGTGTCTTTCTCTATATCTTATTGAAGACAGTATTTCACATATTTTAAAAATTATATATCAATGAAAATCTTCACAAATCTTTGTATGCGTGTTCATCATCATACGTAAATATTAAGAAAAATAGGACAATTCAGGAGAAAAAGATACGAAAGCTCAAGGCTGTTTTTTTTAGTGGAGACAAATTTTTATGTATCCTAAAAATCATTTAATTAAATATGAAAATCTAGTACATTTCTAGTTTGTAATAAACCAAAAACTAATTAACATATCTGTTTAATGAAAGTCGATTAGATCTTAATGTCGACTTGTATGAACATAAATTTGTAAATGATTCTTGCTGAATTGAATTTGGTTTTTTTTTTTTGTAACCATAGGATAATATTAATAACTTTTTCGTTACCTTTAACTCAAATCTTAAAGAAATTACAACAGTAGATTAATTAGTTTATTATGCAATCTATCATTAACTATACTTTGATTTATTGTGCTTTACTTTATTTGTAAAAGGTTTGACTGTTTACTATGGAAAAAAATTCCTTCCTTATTCGTACCACTCATTATCTTAATAATACTATAATAGGATAAAGAATATTGTATAATTTATACGAGTGCAATGCAATAAAACACAAAATCATAAACATAGCATTCCTTATTTTGTGGTCGCGGTGAAAGTACCCGAAATATGAAGTAACAATATTATTTCCAGGGTAAATGTAAATTCATGGAAATTTTTTCTCTGGCATTAAATATCATAAAAACAATCGACGACTACAAAGATAGACTTGCATATACGAGGCATGCTCCAATGTAACTTACTTTTGAAATTCTGACTTAGGTATTTCCCCAACCACGGCTTTGGCCAATGATCTTAAGTCCGCCGCTGGAAGTACTGCTAGATACGTCGAGGCAACCTCCCCAGCAGACCTAGCTACACAATTTAACACCGTTCTTACAAAAATCGCTGTCTGCCCAACGTCTGCTTTTCCTGGTCCTACGTCAGTAGGTATGTCTGGGTGTCATGGTGCTATAATGTATACTGTAAACCAACTTTTATTCGCGTGCGAGAAATTTTCGCGACGTTCGCGAGAGCCTCGTCATCGCGAATATTTCTCGCCGCGAACGCGTCCTTAAAGTCTCTTTTTCTACTAAAACAGTTCCAAAAAGGCTTGATCGCGAAAATAAATCGTCGCGAACTAGTTTACTCTCGGTAAATCGCGAAATAAAGTCGTCGCGAATAAAAGTTGGTTTACAGTATTATGTATTATCAAAATATTCATTCTGCAGTATTATAAGACATTGTATTTTTTCAGCTTGCAAGCTCGACATAGTTTTCATCGTTGAAAATTTTAATCTTCGCTTCATTAAAAGATTTGTGGCAGAGTTAGTCGAGGATCTACCGATTTCTTCAACTGGCGTCAGGGTAGGTTTTGTGGTATTTGATGACGGAGCAAGAACCGAGTTTGGACTTACTGCTCATACCAGCCCGAGGCCGTCAAAAGGGCAATTGAAGGAATTTCAGAGACGTCTAGCAATTATCATTATGTAGATAAGGGATTAATTCATGCTCGTGACAACGTGTTCACGGCTGCTGGTGGAGATCGGGCGGATGCTGTCAATTATTATGTTTTTATCGTTGGGCCTTTTTACAGTGATCCAGTCACAACGGCAAGGCTCATCAGAAGAAGTGGGGACAATATAATTTTTGGCGTTCGTAAGTCAATATTTGTTAGACATTTTGGATGTATGTGATGCATAACTTGTACTTACATGTAATCTCAAGCACCTTATTTTTAGACATTGGAACGAGGTACCAAACTGAATATAAGGAGTCTGTCGGTTCATGTGGTGACTATACGAAATATACAAGTGTGGATTTGTACAATAACTTGATCAACATTAAAGAGAAAGTGAAAGAAAAAATCACTACATGTCATCAAAGTCCGCAACACACACAAGGTATTTATTAACTTCTCCACAAGAGTTTGAGTTTAAGATGCAAAGTTTTGGATGAGTTGTTTTCAAAAAAATATTTGAATATCAAATTAAATTTTGAGTAAAAATAGACAAATGCATTAAAAATATTAACTTGAAACATATGGATAAGACGAACAGTATTCAAGATCAAAAGTCTATAACCAATACCAAAAAAAAGCAGAACGAACACGGACCTCCAAAACATCAAAGATGGGATCAGGTGCCATAGAGGAGTGAGCATCCCCTGCCAACCGGTCACACCCGTCATGTCCTCATTGTCAGAAAAAAAATGAAATTCCGTCGTCAGTTCAGTGTATATAAATGGACTAAAAATTAGTTTGAAAAACGTCAGTTAACTTTTGACTCAATGATAGATAAGGTCATTGTATCGACACAGAACTTACGAAATGATGACTATAAACGATTGATTAAATTTCCTATTTCACAGACCTTCAAAAGTATTGATTTTTTTTTTTAAAGTCTCAAAAATGTGATTTTTAAGCATATTTAGCAACGTATTTTGGCAAAATGTTTTTGTGACATAGTTTTGATGATCGAATTATTAATTATGAAGTTTTACTTATATAGACAATTGCACCATTGATGAGAAGAAGCAGACCTCTAGCATGCACTGGAGTATCATCGTCGTCATTGTCGTCGCTTTCATAGTTGTAATGATGTCAGGAGTGGCTATATTTGTCTTTTTGTATAGACGAAACAGCTATTCAAAGAATAAAGGTAAAGACTAGGTTATTATTCAATGAAAATGAAAAGCTACAAATTTGAGAGAACGCATAATGATACAGAAACTCGTTGAAAGAAAAATCTTCGGCGACGGACGAGATTCTACGGCGATCTCACGGCATTCTACTGCGTTCCCACGGAGATCTCTCGCCGATTGACTGCGCTTCCGCGTATTTTTCACGGCGCGTTAGGAGTTTTCACCTCCTGTTCACGGCGTTCTCAATGCTCTGGCTGCGTTCACAATACGTTTACAATGCGTTCTATACTCATTGATATATATTCAGAAGGAATATAAAACATTTTTGTTTAAAGATTCAAGTTACACGATGAAAAGACTTCTAATCATGCCAAGAAATATTCTTAATAATTAAAAGTGCTATTTAAAAAAATTTAGCACTAAATTATTCATAGTTTTATGATTAAACTCCTTTTTTTCAATTTTATCGGTTCAGATGTGTTGTTAGATTTTCTTTGATTTCATTATGAATGTAAAAAAAAATATTAAAAGACACTGAAAAGTTTTCTACAAAATTTAAGTGAAACAACAGAACAAGTTCTGGTGTAGTTTTCTCTTCCATTTTTTTTTTCATTTAAATGCTCCTAGTGCAACAAATACGTTGGAATTATTGCTGATCAAATATGATCCCATTGCTCTTGTTTTGTGAGCTTGCTGAAAACGCTCTAGCAACGCCGTGAAAGCGCATTGTGATCGCCAACTGATGCTGTAGAAACCCCATGGGAACGCAATGATCGCAGTGACAACTGTCGCCGTGTAATCGCAGTCCAAAAAATCACAAGAAGATAAATCTCATTAGAAGCGCCGTAAAAACGCTATAGAAACGCAGTGACATCTCCAAGGACTCCGCGACATCTCCGGAAGGTCTCCTTGGAAGCGCAGTCTACTATCACTGCGTTCGTGCCGCGATCATGTGCGTCTTCACGGCGTTCGTACGGAGTTCCCACTACGTTGTTGGAGATCTCAATGCGTTGTTACGGCGATCATACTACGTTTCTACTGCGTTCCTATCAGACCGCGATCACACGGCGCGTACTTTGTGCATGCCCAAAGTGATCGCCGTCCCCTGGCGTTCTAGGAGACCCTACTCGACCCTACGGCATTCAGTGGAGATCTCGCCGCGTTGTCACGGCGCTGTTGGAGACTCTACTGCGATCACCTTTGCGTTTTGCATTTTTTGAGGACGCCGTGCAGTCGCCGTGAGGACGCAGCCCCGGTGTGACAGGGGTTTAACGAACAGTATTCGATCTCAAACGTCAATTAAACATCACAAAATAGGAGCGGAGCAAACACAAACCTCCAAAACATCAGAGGTGGGATCAGGAGGAGTGATTGCCATGGAGGAGTGAGCATCTCCTGGCAATCGCTCACACTCCCCACGTGCTCAAGGTAATGTTGAATCCTCCCCCCCCCCCCCCGAAAAATCCGTGTACAACTCAGTGTGTAAATAACGGACTAACAATAAGTATAAAGAAGTCAGTCAGCTAGTGATAAATTGTATCTGCTGACAAGGTCAATGAATCGACCATAGAACTTACGAAATGATGACTTTAAACGAGACTGCTGGTATTTTGGTTTCTTTATCTTGTTTGTCAATAATTTACCTCATTGTAGAAATTGTTCATATGTAGAATATGCTCTTCCGTATCAAATCAATTAAGAGATTTAGACTCCGTATGCAGGTGACAAAGATATATTGCTGCATAAGTAAGGGAAGTTGACGATTGAGAAAGTCATTACGTTTATCAAAAAGCTTTGAAGAACATTGCCTTTGTAGTCATTTTTTTTTTATAAATTAAGAGGATTTTTTTTGGGGGGGGGATCAAACACTAAACTGCTAATGTCTTGAAACCCGAGGGTTCGACTACCTGTATATTAAACGTATACTTCCTAAGGAATTTTTGCCACATGTCCTCCATGTCTGCGTTTTAATTACATGTACTGCAATTACCGTTAGTTTTCCTCTTATTGTTGAAATACTACGTCACATTGTCACTACATCAAAAAAGTAACCAAGTACGTACATCTCTCTTGTTCAAGTAGATGATCTGCAACATACAACGTTATCTGACAAATCTCTTCTGAGCACAAAAACATGTTAATAATGTTTTGAAAGACATTCAAAATCTTTTTCATCTACACGTTATGCGGTAGTTAAGTTATATTTAAAGGATAACATTAAAATAGCATTTCTTATATGTATGACACCGAGGACACTGTACATGTATTTTATTTCTTTGAACTCAAAGTAAAATATACTACACAGTCTGTTAAATCTTTCGATATTTTATCAGAAAAGACGCTAAATAATTACCTCAAGACAAGATTTGTGATAAAGGTGATAACTTTAATTTTTCAATAGAGAACTTTCCTTATTCATGTAGCTATATACGACTATCATTTGCATATGGAGATAAGGTTTCCAAGTAAAATTCGATTAAACAAAGCAAGCTCTACATAAAAACGATTTCTGAATCGAAGCAAACTATTGGCAAATAAGCACGTAATCATCGATTTGAAATCATTAATATCGCAAAGTAGATGTGAAATGTCTTTAGTAGTTATTTGAATAATTTGTCATTACATTTTCTAGCATATTTTCTGATAAAAACATAGTTTTGAAACACACACACACAAAAAAAAATGAATAAATAAATAAATAAATAAAAAAAACCATTGAAGATAATAATCGCAATAAACATACCGTACATGTAAAAGATGACTTTTCTGTTATTGCAATGCTTAAAATATTATCAACATGATTACAGAAACACACATTCGTGAAGGGTAATGAATATGTATTTGTGGATTTCTTTACTTTTGAGTACTACACTTATTACTTCTGCTACAGTCTACTACAACTACTGCTATAATTACTTCTTAATACGATTAACTCTTGGTGATAATTGCTGTCTACTGCTTCAGATACAGCATGTTCTCAAAGGAAGCATAATCCAGTAGTAGTTTTTGCTCTACTCACATCTTGTTTTGTTTCACTGAACTCTTGTGCATAATATCGAAGTTGGTTTTTTTTAAATTGATATATAAAAGTTTTTCTCTTGATTTTGTTGTTTCTTTGCCATCATTTCAATTATCGTTGTAAGCTCGATTAACATATTTTGTTTTATTAAAAATATACGAGTTTAATTTTTTCCTGACATGTGGCATATGTCCTGCAAAAATATTGTATGTTCTATTTGTATTTATATTGTTTACAGTACAGAGCTCTTGTAAAGAAACTATCAGATTATCGGTACATGTATTAGATATGTATGAAAAATATGGTTATTAAACCAATTGTGATTGCACTGCGTACATCTTTTGAAAATAAATAATGTACAACACACCCTCCCTTAAGAAATTCTAAAGCCTCTTGGGACGATAACAATATGCTGTGAATCTACAAATACGCGTTGAAAAATCAAATTGGAAAATGACAATTTGCTTATAAAAATTATTTAAAATTATATTTATAAAAGTTCTCAAATGTAAAGAATATTTGAATATAAGACCCTCCCCTGATTCCGCCTTTATCTTTTTTCTTTTTTTTCTATTTGAGTCGCATGTAGTCCATTTGAGTTTGATAAAACATCATTGGCAGTGCAATTATATTTAGTCCATTTAATATTCATTTAATCCCTGAAGTACGTACTAGTTTGTAAGTTCATGAATATATATTAAATATTGACTACTAGTTTGTTTTGTCTCAAGTTAAACTTTCTAAAAGATATCAAGTCCAAGTTTATAGTCCATATATGTATTATGCATCTATTTTCATACCTGGTTATAAATTTATTTTTTGTTGATTGTAAATTTTACTTCTTAAATTTTAATTTCAGTCCTTGTTAAAAGTTAACCTACAATTGTATGTATTTATTTCTCTTGTGACAATTATCTATTTATAGTTTCAAAATAATTTCAAACAAAACAGTGTGTGAAAACATCCCCACCCTCTCCCGAAATCGTATCCTTTCGTTGCTTTTAAAGATAAAATGTAAATTTCGTATTTTCTTCGACCAAATTTACTTCAGCGATCAAACTTTAAATGCTTCATCTATTTTAATTTTATATTTAAGTGTAAATTGATATTTGAAAACTTTTTTTTTTAATTCGATGAAATGCGAACCGATATATTGACCGTCATTGACGCGGTCTTGGTGTGATATGAGATAAAATCTATGTGGAAAAATAATACAAGGAACAAGCGGCAGTTGAGACCAGTCGGCAGGGGATGCTCATTCCTCCATGTCATCTGATCCCACCTCTGATGATTTGGAGGTCCCTGTATAATTTGGTCTTATTTTGTATTGTTTGATGGTCTTTTGAGCTTGAATACTGTTTGATATCGCCATATGCTTCATTTTAATGTTATACATGTATAAGATATGGAGCTAACATTCATATTTTAGAGAAGCACGAAGCAGCTGTTGACAAATTTAGTCCTTTTATTATAGAACGACACACAGTAACTATGACAGCATTGATGGATCTGGCGAAATTAAAGATCATACTTATGAAACTGTGGATACAAGCATAGGTAGGTAAATATACAAGAAAAAATATACTTTATAAGTACTAGTACCGGCAGTTTATTCGAGAGAATAATCTGCATGAATGAATTCCAAATATTTGTTTCAGTCTACAAAAATCAATATACATATTGTGCTCCAAGCGGTTTTGAACTCTCTTTATAGAAAACATACCTTGCACAGGAATACCAAGCATTCACAGCCATTGTCAGAAAATCTCATATTTCAAAGAATTTATTTCATTTGCACAATGTACATGTATGTTGCATTTTTCATAATGCATTGTGGTAATTATAATTTTTCTGGAAATAAAAAAAAATTGTGAAAAAAAAAACGAATCAAAAACATTGTAAGTATAGAAGGTGGTTTTTGTTTTTGCTTTCAGGTACTTCTGACAGAGGGTAAGTAAACTGTGTTATCATAATATTATTTGTATACAAGTGCCGATCAGGAAAATGTTCAATTCACATGTAAGAATAACAAATGGTGCAATAGCAATTTTGTCTAGTGTACATGCATGGGGAATACGTGATACTCCTCATCTTCTGTATTGACTGTAACCATTTAAACTTTGGTATGCATGGTTACCAAAATCAAACAAAGCACTGATAAAACGGTATAAAGGAATTATTAAGAAAATAATTGTAGAAAGTTAGTAACCATGGATTCATTTGGAATACAGTTTAGATGCTTAAAATGCCATTAAACAACATTAAATTATTAAAGGTGTTACATTATCAAACTCAACAACACAATGAATACAATAAAAAAATATCCTTAGTAATTAGATATTGGGAATATTTATTTTCGAGTAAATTTCATGTTTACTTAATTTAGGCATACAATATGTATTCTTTTGTTTTGTGTATGCCTCTATCTTGAGGAAAAGAAAAATTCAAGACTGAAAAATATATAATATATTATCTAAGGGACCTTAGAACACAGATAAACCGTAAAAAAATTAGGAATACAATATACCCGTGATTTAAAGTGATATTTCATTTGCTTCTAGAGAAATTTAACTTTAACGAAGAAACAAATGATTTTCATGTTCTCTTTCGCTTCGCTCAGTCGAACATAAATCATTTCCTGTTCTAATATAAAATAAAACAAACACAGAATATAGGATAAGATAAGACATAGTTAGCCATTTATTAAAACAAAGTTGTACAAACTTTAAGATAATCACGTCCGTAGAAGGACACGATCAGCATCCAAATGTGTTAATGTTGGAGGATTCCTAGTGGTAAATATTCCCAAAGTCCGCTGTTGATGGGTGAAATCGGTAAGGTTTAGTGGCAATATTCAACAAAAATTTCATTCATTATCTGAAAAATACATCTAAAAATTGAAACAGCAAAAAGAATTTTAAAAAAACTTGAAAGTAGTTGGCTAACTTTTGTCGAGTGATTACAATAACCGATTGCAAGATTTAAATACTCTAAACCAAATGTCTGCAAATTATTACGATAAACAAAATAGTGCCACTTATTATTACCAACATCACATATAATTTAAATACCCACTACTTGCAAGCATCGCTGGTCTAGTGTATCAAGCGCTTCAATTCCACTGTGAGATGCACATCTTTTTACTTTTTTAAAAACGAAAAGAAATATATTACTCACCTTGAATTTTTACCTACTTATCTAATAGAATAAAAGTTGCATACAATATACTGAAAAAGTTTGAAAAAGAAATTAATACTGTTGTTATTGTTATCAAAAAGGGAAAATAATTCGACTTTTTTAAAAGGGAATGGTTTTGATTGTGTTTACTTATGGTAGCATTTAACCTCATGTGGTATCTTTTCATGTGCATGTTGCTTACACATAAATAGACATTGATTAGAAGTCAAGATTTTTTGAAACCTTCATAAAAGAGTATGTACTCAAGAAAGAAAAATCAGATATTTACTCTATAATTTTCATTGCAAAAATAAATGTATATTTTTTTTAAATTATTGTTTAGACCAAAGGAGGAAATTTCTCAATCTGGAGTCGAAGACAATGGATATGAGACCCCTCTTGAAAGAGGTAAATTGAAATAGAATTTATTGTTGATATTTCAAATTTAATGGTTCATTTTCCCCAGAATATGTTTACTTCAAACTTTCATTACAGTTTCTGCAACTGAAACCGCAGCAGTCCAGATTCAAAGAGAAACAGGATTTTATCACAGCTATGTGGACATTAACTAGACTCTAAAAATATTTCGTTCGCTTGTACGTGTATCTATAATTGTAAACAATGAATTTACATTATATAATATTCACATAATTAATGTAAAATGTACTTTCTTTTATTCAAATTCATGTGTTTTAACTCAAAATTAGGCGATTCTTTAGATTTTGGTACGATACAAATTTAATCATTAGTTTCAAACAAAACAAAACAAAACAAAAAATCAAAGGGAAGATTATAAAAAAAGTGATATATGGTTGCCTGACATGAAATACATTCTTAGATCAATTACAATTATTAAATTCTAAGTGAGCTTTTCTGGTCACATTTTATCCATAGTCCGTCCGTCCGTCTGAACTTTTCTCATTTTCAACTTCTCAAGAACCACTGTGCCAATTTTAACCAAACTTGGTACCAAGCATCCTTGGGTAATGGGGAGTTTAAATTGTTAAAATAAAGGGCCAAGTCCCCTCCTAAGGGCAGATTATCAACAAAAGACAAAAAATAGGTTGGGTTCATTAAAAAATCTTCTCAAGAACCAGTGGGCCAGGAAAGCTGAAACTTATGTGGAAGCATTCTGGGGTAGCGTAGATTCTAAATTGTTAAAATCATGACCCCCGGGGGTAGGACGGGGCCACAATGGGTAGGGCAGGACCACAATAGGGAATCTAATTTTTACGTAGAAATATGTAGGAAAAATCTTTTTAAAAAATCTTCTTCTCAAGAACCAGTGGGCCAGGAAAACTGAAACTTATGTGAAAGCATCCTGGGGTAGTATAGATTCTAAATTGTTCAAATCATGACCCCCGGGGGTAGGACGGGGCCACAATGGGGAATCCAATTTTACAGAGAAATATATAGGAAAAATATTTAAAAATCTTCTTCTCAGGATCAAGAACCAGTGGGCCATAAAAGCTGACACTTATGTGGAAGCAAGGGGGAGATAATCAAGAAAAGACAAAAATAGGAAGGGGTCATTAAAAATTCTTCCTCTCAAGAACCAGTGGATCAAAAAAGCTGAAACTTAAGTGGAAACATCTTAGGGTAGTGTAGAATATAAATTATTAAAATCAAGACGGGGTGGGGCTAGGGGCCACAATAGATATAAGAAGAGGGGAAATCTGGTAAAGAACTGCATTACCAAAGTTACTTAGGTGAGCGATGTGGCCCATGGGCCTCTTGTTAAAATATTATAATGCAGATATACAGTTAATCGTACCTTTATCTATTTATTATTTTGTATAATTTTTTTTAAATAATTTAAAGTTAACTACAGTATTTTATTATTTATACAGAGAAAATGACACAAAACTCAATTAAGAATGTATACTTATTTATTGGCCATTATTGGCCGTGGCACAAGAAAATACAAAATTGTGGGACGCCATTTCAATTGGGCAGTCCCATCAAATTCAAACATCAACTAACCGTCCCGGGATAACCGCGGAGGGTCAGTACACATACAAACTGTTCAAATCAATCAATCAATCAATCAATAAGTCATATCTCAAACTCCTAATATCAAGCATATCAACTTCTTTTATCAAATCTTGTACATCATATATCAATAATATCTCAAACTTCATAGATCAAACATCTCAAACTTCAAATATCAACATTTTTCATATTTCAAACCTGTACGATGTAGTACAGCTCTAATGTATATATCACTATCACCAAAAGTAAGCGTATTAGCTTAGTGTTTCACTAGCATTAGCATTTCAACAAGGTGACACTTCCACACAAACATTCAGTTATCAGCTGACTTGGGTGTGCGCAGACGCTTCACACTAGCGACTTCTCCTTGAAAAAATGCCACGACGGTTTCTTTTAAGTTCAAAGTATCAATCATATAATCGATTAAATGCTACCAATTCGATTTCATAACGATGGTAAGTTTTACAATTTTGCAACACTATTCGGTACGCATACTGTACAGAGACAGTTTAATGCATGTTTCGCACAATCCTTACAGCTGGCAATGGACTTGATGTGGACATCATGTGGCAGATTTTTCACTTTAACTTCTCCTTTAGACAGCACCAGGATGATATTTTCTCTATGGGTATAAGGTATTCATCTCGGACGTGAAGATCAAAGTTGTTTCACTGCAAAATAAAGCAAAACCAAGTAGCAGAAAATCATTCTTTACGAAGGAACATTCTAATAAATGTGGTGGGAGGGCGGTTTTTTGAAATTACAAAGCAACATTTCTTGCTTTTTGCATGCAATTGTTATGCGTCTATACCTTTGAAACGTTCAGGAGAAAGGAATGTGAAGAACAAACTGACTTTTATATACAACGCTTGATGTGTCAACCAAACCTGACTCTTAAAAGCCAACGTTGAAATAACAAATACTTGGGACCTATATACTAGTATATAGGTCCCTTCAAATATACTTTTCTTGTAAAATAAAGACATCTATTTTGTCTACACAAATAGATGCTATTATCTGGGCTTATCTGTAATTAGTTAAATACATTTCTCCTCTGCACTGACCTAAATTTATTCCTGGGGAGGAGCTTGACAGGCAGAAGTTGAACAGTAGTTGCGTGGTCATGATACAAATACTTAGGTGGCCTCCTTTTTGTCTAATCTGTGTCTTCTTGTAACAATCCCTTGCAGTTGTATAAGTCATCAATATTTAAAATATGAACAAAAACTATAGAAAAAAATAACTTGATCTTATCTTAATTACCGGTATCTGGTTTTCTACTTTTGCCCACTTTACATTTTATTAACATATTAAATCTTCATTTTTTTAAATACATATCCTGATTTGCTCTAATTATTTCGGGAGTTTGGGTAAAATATTGAGGTCCCATGTTTGGGATATCCTATAATTAAAAGGGAAAAAACTGAATCCCTCCTGACAATCAGAAATTACTAGAAGGAAACTGTCTTCAGATTTTAGAAAGATAAATTGTAAAACAATTATATCGTAGTGTCCATATCATTGATAGCTGCTTTTTCAACAACAAAGGAACTTAAATTTATCTACTTTGTCATTGGTCATTTGCAAAATTATTTTGTTGAAAAACATTCTGATTGAACACACAAGTACTCTGAAGTTCGACATCAAAACATGCATGCTTGAGTTTCTGATTGACAATATCTATATGTTTTTATAGAGACTAGATATTCCAAAAATCTATTGGCATTTCCAAAGTACCAGTTGCGCCCCGTTGTAATTTTTTTTATATTATGTGGCATATGTGGCAGAATTTATCTAAAATATTATACATGAAGAGAAGATATCACTTGCTGTGTCCTTCAACTCAATTCTTTTGCCGATACAATATACCCCGATTAGCTTAAGATAAAAGATACCACAGAGCCTGACACATATGTTTCATATCTGGATATTTTACTTGAAAAAGACGTTAATGGTTATTTTACAACCAAGCTTTATGAAAAACGTTATGACTTTATTTTTCAATCGTCAGCTCCCCTTACTTATGCAGCAATATAAGAGTTTTTATATATGAATGTTTTTAATTACGAGGGGCGTTCAATAAATAATGTCATCAGCTCCATGACATACAACATAGAAATCATATAACATTAAGCTTGACTTTTTCTAATTATTGAATCTTTAATGAATTGATAACAGTTTATGTGACTACTTTTCATCGCATAATTTGATTGTGGGAAGCTGGAAAACAAGGGCTACTCGAGACACTGCGTTAAAAATGAATGGTCAAGAATCAGTAAATTAGAGTAAAGTGGAACGCGTCATTAAAGCTGCTGTAAAACTTGTTAATTTCCCAAAAATATATTAACTGAAATATGTGAAATTTACAGCAACGTATGTCTATTTCATACACACATGAACAAGTGGATTTCAATTAGCAAAAATTATATAATGGGCATCAAAAATGGCTACCCTCCTTGTCAACAAGGACATACAACAACCAATGTATATTAGCGATAATTCAAAAAATTATCACAGATGATGTTTTATTGACTTTAAGTTACATAGCAAATTAGACAGACATCATATCGGGGGTAGTTCACACTGTTTTAAAGAAACATTTGATTGTAAAAAAGTTTATTACTCAAATGTCATCCTATATTTATAAATACAAGTGAAAACAAGAGCGTGTAGAAAATCTAAACAATTATGTTTAAAAAATCAAAAATTGTTCTTATCCACGTTTTTCTGAAATTCAAACAGATCATGCAACTTGAATCCATTTTGCGTTTAACCCTCAAAGAAAATTTAGAATAAGAAGTACTTGACAAAACTGCAAAGGCCTAAGAAGAGCAAAAATTTGCAAGAACACAAAAACAGTTTTATACGCTATTTTCGTAAATATTATCGGTCTTGTTGTTCAAATATATATATAGGGAGGCAGTTCAATTTCTAGAGAAGTCTAGTAAGCAAAATATTTGCCAAAAAATTGAAAGGTTTCTGAGAGGAAGGAAACAGAATGAGGAATTAACTACATTAAATTTCTTCCTGACAGCGTCCAAACGCACAGGCCATGAAGAGTAAAAGAGTTTTTGGGTAAACAAAAAATTAATGTTTTGTCACATCAACAATATTCGCCAGATCTTTCAATCTTTGACTTGTTTTATTTCCCAAACTTAGGAAAACACCTTTCAGAAAGAAAAAAAACAAGTACAGCAAATCATAGGATCTGCCATTTTCCAGTATACGAAGGGTCATACTCAAAACTGTGTTCTAAAAACAATTAGAAATTGAATAAAAATGTTATGGACATGTCTTTTAATTAAAAGAGAATATTTTAGTTAAATCATTAAGACAAAATCATAGAAAAGCGATTTTTGTTTCTTTCCGAGCACTGATGACATTATTTATTGAACGCCCCTCGTATATATCTCAGTTGACTCGACACGCATTAGCATGCTCTACGTATGAATTTTTTTTTAAACGAGGTAAATTATTGACAAACAAGTTGATGAAGTTAGAATATCATTAGTATTGTTTAAAGTCATCATTTCGTAAACTATTTGGTCGATACAATGACGTTGTCAGCATGTACAATTTA